GGGGGGGGGTCGGTGATAAAGCTCCAGAGAGTATTCTGTGAGAAGCAGGTCCTCCAGTCCAGAGGGACACCTGCAGAAACACAGTGACATCATCAGACTCACCCGACTTCACATTAATAATTTAATCACTGATAAACCTCTTCATTCCTCCTTCAAAATAAGAGCTCAGAGAATCTGGAACACTCTGGACACAGTGGTCCGTAGCTTCCTTTGAATCAAAGCTGAAAACGTCCTTTCGTCGCAGCACATTCCCAGATTTTACCGAAACAGATCCGGGGACATTTTACCGAAGTGTGTCCTCCTGGTGCTACGTGGACTACAGACTATGTTATCAAGTAAGTACAAAGACTGATGTTATAGTTTTAAGTTTAGATATAAATACACTCTGAGGTTTATGTGTGATTTACGAAACACAATAATAGAATATTCGATTCTTTGAATGAGTCCACAAAATAACATTCAGATTTTTTTTTCCCAGTTTGTTAATTTAAAAAAAAAATCACAATAAGTCGTCAGATATTTTCTCTCCAGGTTCCAACATCTGCTGTCTTTTGTTTTTGGACATAAACAGCATTTCACCTTGTAAAAGAACATTTTCAAAAAAGACGAAAACAAACGAGACGACAAACGACAACGGCGCTGAGATGACTTGACCCACCGAGCTCGTCACAGACGGACGACTTCAGCAGATGGTCTCAAGGTGACGTGAGTTCTGCGGAGGAGAAGAGAGGAGCTGTAGAAATACTCTGAACACAAACCGTCTCATCAGCTGCAGTGTTTGAAAGAGCTCTGTGTGTTTGTGTCTCACCGGCGTGTCGTTCCACTGCCTCGGCAGGTCCTCTGGCTCAGGGGGGTAGGACATCCAGGACGGGCTACGGTACGAGGACGGCGGCGACATGACGAAATAATCCGAGTAACCCGGGCGGTTGGCTGATATAGCGTAGACTGCTGTTATTGGGTTTCCTGTGAAATGCAAAGATAATAGACTCGTTCCTCTTTGAGTTTTTAAAGATTCTTGTAATGATTTGATGAATTCATTGTGACTTTGTTCTTGTTTTGTTTATTTCTTCTCAATCTGAACTATTTATTACATAAAGATGAAATAAAACATCAATAAAAAGCCTGTTAATAAACTTTATCCTCTATTTCTGTCAAACCTGAGTAGGTGGTGATGGACTGGTCGACAGTGACAGCAGGGAAGGTGGTCCTGGACAGTGGCAGGTAGGGGGCGCCGTTGTGCTGTTGGGCCTGGAGGTCGGACGCCTCTGACACTCGAGGCTTCAGACTAACATCGGGGGTGGAACTGACGAGAGACAAACAGAGAAACGCTTGTTAACGTGGTAATCTGTCGACAGTGAAACATATCAACAAATACTTTTTTACTAAAGCTGGTCAAGAAGTTAAAACCAAAAAACTAGGTCAGAACATTTCCTGGACTTTGTGTTTGGACAACAGCGCTCGAATCTCATCGTCTTTCCAAGTTGACGTCTTCAGCTGCGTCCTCACATATGACATTCTAAAAAAACATTCAAAATAAACTCCAGGAAACGACCAGAGCCTCTAACTGTGACGTTTGTGTTCTCACACACACGGAGATTATCTGGATTTCAGATAAACTTATAGTGTCAGTGGTTCTGTTCACATTAAAAATCACCAGGAGCGTCATCAGCAGACTGGTGAGCAGATCTGGGTTTAAACAAGCACGTGTGTTTATGTTTTCCTATAGACGGCGGCACGGTGGTGCAGTGGTTCGCACTGTCGCTTTGCAGAAAATCCGGTTCTTGGTTTTAATCCCAGTTCGACCCCTGAATCGTTTCCTCCTCATCTACATGTCGTCCCCCTCTGATCTGCGGAAGCTCAGACTACTGTACACAACACGTTCCACCACACCGAGGAACCCGGAGGACAGATGATGTCATTGTCGGAGCTCAGGACCACGATGCACTGTGCACGCTAACGCTTCACACTGCATCCCAAAGAGGAATTAACATGCTGCACACACACACACACACACACACACACAGTTTCCTGAGGAGGAGCTGATGTATGACGAGATAAATGATTCACTACTGAAACATGTTCTGGTTCTCAAGCAAGAGTAAAGGTCAGACATCTGTAATTAGATTGAATCAATTAGAGAATCATGAAACCAGAACCGTCTTTGTCATTGATGTAAAATACGTCCTAATGAAATTCTAAATATCTCAGTGATGCTCTATTAGATCAGTGCTTCGCTGACATTTTTGCATTTGTCTGCAGGCGGTGAGTCTGCTCCAGCCGCACAGCTGCAGAACAGCGTTACTTTCTCCGTTCGGCCGCTAGATGGCGAGCATGCTCCTCCGTGCACACTGGCCACAGCAGCCAGTCGCTCTCTGCAGTGCTAAAGTGCCCAGCAACAGGGTGCACACAGCAACAGCATTTAAATGAAGGCGCCGCTCGGTTCAAACGATGCAGATGAACATCTGGGAGCGAGCGGCACGGAGAGAGGAGTGGACGAGGAGCCGGAGCGCTACGACCGATATCCTCCACGTTCTCCTGTGCTCCCTCCGCTGATGTCTTACAGCCTTGTCTCATACTGTGATTAGCTCCTGAGCTGCATTTTGATTGGCTGAGGAGTCAAACAGGAGTCAAACAGGAATTCAAACAGAAAAATGGTTTCATGCATCTCGATGGAAAAACATCAGACATATTTAAGGAGCTGATATCTATGAGTTTGTGAGGTTTAAGCTGCGTCACATTCCTGCAACTAGGCTGTCCCATATCGAAGGCTCCTTCAAATGCGTCCTTCCATCCCTGAACAACAGAGTCTCCTACCCGTGGTTCCTTCTCTGGCCAACCCATCAACAGACACGGACGCTTCACAACTTTCTCATTGTGTCTGACTGCAGACACAGGGCGGGACAAGCCAGTGGCACAAATCAAGGAAATCCTCCGTGGACCAGATAATCTAATCCGCCTTCACAATTTACACGGCCCACAATGGCGTCCCCTGAATCGGGACACCGCTAAGGAGCAGCCTGACTTTAAGGACACCGTTCGACAGACGTATGCCTCCTGCTGAGTGTTGTATTTTTTAAAAAACTGTTCTCTCATTCTCGGATGTGTAATTGTCTGTGTGATTGCTGGTGGTACCGTCGTAGTGAGGTCCCAGGTGGCGGTCCCGGCCTCGAGGGGATCAGCGGCGGGGGAGAACCGATGCCCATGTCAGGAAGCTGAGTGAACCGGAAACCCTGCAGACGCCACAAAAATAATTTAACTCCATCTGACAAGCATCAGGACTCAGGACAGTTTGAGCACAAAAATATTCAATGCAACTTGAAGTCAGAGCCAAAATATCAAGGACTAAAGAATCATCCCTCTGTTTACTCGTCTGATGGCTGCTGGGATGAACCTGAGCATCTTCTTATTAGTGTTAAATGCAGCAATTTAAAAGTCATCTCTGATGAGAGGACACGAGCGAGGTCACTGAGATTCCTATTTTCCCTTTTTAAGGACTTGTTTTGAATAAAGCTGCGGATCTTTAGTTTCTGAGCAGAGGTTAACAACACCTTGGTTCCAGTTCTTTTGACACAGGGATAAAAAAAGAATAAAACATTGTCAGTAATCTTTGGTCCACAAATCTGTGCATTACAGGTCCACGTTATTGAGGGTGACACTGATTTTTAAAACCTGTGGAGAGGGTTTATGCACACTTTTGTTTGCTCTCACTGTTTTGTGGTTTTGCTCTCGGCCGCCAAGTTTCCAGCAGCAGCTTTAAACACCCGCTGTGTCGTCCCCGCCCGGCACCGAGCGGCTGAAAGTTAGAGATTAGCTGGTGGACATGGTGCTAGTGTAGCAGGAATACAGCCCAATTATTTCCCACAGGAGTTGGTCGAGAATAAAACACCTTTAAAACGAGGACACACACACACAAACACACACGCGCGCTAACACAACTCTCAATAAATGCTAAAGACTGATTCCGTCTGTGTGGCCATAACAACTTCACAGATTTTCTTTTGCAATTCATTTTATATGAATCCCTGCAAAGTCTCTTACTCTGAAGGTTTTTTATTTTCAAAATATGCTGCAGCAATTTCTTGTAAATTACATTTTTCAAAACATATGAAACCCCGGCGTCTTCCATCATATTGGAGAGGAGGAGACATATTGGATATTTTGACACCACCACAGTATCCCAGCCTTTAACCTCCCCCCCTGGTGTTTACCGGTTTGGGCAGGCTGCACTGGTGCATGTCCTCGTATCCTGCGCTCCTCTGTCTGCCGCCGCAGGGATGGTTCATGGTCCCCGGAGCGCTGGTCACCCCGTCACTGTAGTGGCTGGTGTGGGAGGGGTTGTAGGCGCTGTAGGCGTGGTGGTGGTGGTGGTGGCGGCTGCTGATGAGAGTTGAGAGACGAGAAAGTTTCTGTACACGTTCAGTTACATCTACTTTCTGCAGAACAGCTTGGGAGTGGGATGTGTGCAGCTCAAACTGTGCGTCAGGTCACCGCTTCTCTTTCCTACACAAGACTGTAAATCATGCAGATGTGCTGGGGAATAAAACCGTCTCCGAAAAAATATGAATTTACTTGGTTGGAGGGGAGGGCGGGTCGTGGTCCGGAGGTGCCAGGCTGAAGGCGTTGCCTAGCAACATGTGCATCTGCGTGCGGACCTCGTCAATGGATGGCTGGGAGCTGAGTGTGGAGGAGTCGGAGCCGCGGTGAGCTTTCACCCCCAAGCTGCCGTTCCCGGTGCCAGTGGATCCACCTCTGTAGCCCAGAGAGCTCATCAGACGGTCCACGTTGGTCTCCTCAAACGGTTCTGGTTCGCCCTGCGGAGATGAAACACACACACACACACACACAGTTTTCATGTCTGACCATCGACCGTGTGAAGCTCTGGTTTCAGTTTCTATGTTTAAACTTTCATTTCTTTATTGTTAACAACATCTGCTGCTGTGTTTCAAACTGGATTCTTTGAGTTAATATTGCAACAGAAGGTTTTCTAACGAGACGCAGCGATGGACGTTGTGTTTGATGCTCTCGTCTCTCTCCACTGGTTTGTTTTGATAGTTTGTACTAACACTAAAGGAATCTCACAATATATAGTTCATGGACACTTTTAATCACAACAGAGGTTTGTGTGTCGTATTTAGTTATCGTGCGATTAAACATCAGACCAGCCTCACACTTCTCATCTTTACAATCCTTTCTCCAAAACACAAATATCCTTTTAACAAATGATCTTGTCTTTTCCCTTTAACCACAATGTCACCACTCAAACTGTGTCACTGCTGTGTTACAGGAGAATGAGATTTCCATCACACAGTTGTGGGTTGGAGTACGTGGCATCACAAACTGCAGCAAACAAGTTGTACATTTAAAGTATTGTCGTTGTTGTTGTTGTGCTTCACAATTCTGCGACAATGACATAATTACAGGCGCAGAGAAATGAGCTAGTCCCCTGGAAGCCCCTCTACAGTAAAGTGTGAGCGGGGGATGTAACACGCAGCACAAAAGTCTCAGACATAAACAGAGAATATAGCAGATTAATTATTGCAACAATTCTACAGCATGAAAACACAAACAGCTGAGATCTGCTGCACACAAACACACGCTGGTGCACAAACACACTCGTCACACTCTGATCTCCAGGAGTTTGGCGCATCCGTATCCATTAACTGCCACCGCGGCTCCCATCTGTATCCATGAATAGGCTATAATCATATTCAGAGTCATTGACATTCAGCTAGGTGGCACGGTCGCTGCTGTTACTGCAGCAGAGACGCAGCAGAAAGAGAGTTCACCCACTCTCACTCCATCTGTCCCCATTTTATCTCCTCATCTCCGTCTTTCTTCCCTTTTCTCCGCATTTTGAGATTTTCTCCTCGTCTCTAATCATTTTGCAGTTTCCCTTCCTTCTCCCCGGCTTCTCTGTTTCTTTGTCTTTGCTGTGGCTTTGTAGTTCCAGAGGTAATTTTTAATCCTGGAGGTGCGAGCTCAGAGATTGGGAGTTAGGGTAAAGGAGGGGAAACGAAGGATTAAAGTTATAAATGCTCTCAGCAGATTATTTTATTCGTTTGACGAAGTGGTAGAGCTTCCGTTCGCCACTAACGTCATGCGACTCGTTTAAACGAGTCAGGATTCATCCCAGGTTTTTAGGATTTCTGTGCGTGACTCACCTGGTCAGAGGTCGGATCTGAACTTATAAAGAATATTATAGTTTGTTACTTCAAAACTCTTCAAAGCTTTGCACCATGTTGCCACGGGGTATTTTTTAATCTTTCATCCTCGACTCACGGAAAACCTGAACTACTAACGATTCACAGATCTACTCACGTCGTAGCCATTGTTCCGGATGCCTCTTCTGGATCTTTCTCTCAGCACCAGCAGGTCCATCTCCGTCTCCACTGGACTCGGGCTGCTCAGGGACTGTCTGCTCCAGTAGTTGGGCTCCCGGGGGTGAGAGTACCTGGTGGGAAGATAAAAAGATAAAATCAGTCGGTGTAACTACAGCTCGGAGGCACATGTGGTGATGATGACGCAGACCTTAAGTCCTCTGTATTTTCAAGGAGGGGCGGTTTTAAAAACTTTTGAAAACATAGTGGGATACTTCGAGGTTTGATATCGTCAGGCAGGTATCCAGGTCTAAAACTAGTGAAACAAATCCCACGCAACTTGTCTGAAGGACGCGATATCAGGTCAGAGAAGAACCCATTACATGTCGGGGCGGATCTGGGAGTTTTTCAACATTTTAGAATAATTCAGGTATATTTGGTGCAGATCCAAATAAAATCTGGTGAATTTAAATGTGGTTTCATAAAAGGACTGTTGAGGCTCGAGGTTATAAATCCACATTTACAAGCCAATTAATCTAAGAGCCATTATTTCACACAGTACGACTGAATCTACAGCCACAGAAAGCTGTTCAAACATTCGGTACAACACTTGTAAGGTTTACAAGAAATTGGATTTCATCATCCTGCCTTTTGCTGTGTATTATTATATGTGAAATTATCTCCAATGTAGAACAACCTGATTGCTCAGTCAGATTTCTCATGTTAAAAACCGCTGGTGCTCTTCAACATGTTTGGGTTGATGTCAGAAAAACAACTGAACAGCAGCTTAAGCAATTAACAAACCGCGAGAAGGTTTAACGTGTTAATTCTGTAACAAACAGACATTTATCTGTATGAAGTTTAAAATATTAATGTGCCGACCTAAAGTCATCACTCAGTACTCACTCACTCCTTGTGTGTTGCTTAGCAACTATGTTCTACAGCTACAGAGAAACAGCACATTCATAATATGAGCTGGGGAAAAAAAAATCCAATTAATTTAGCACTTCATTATTTTTATAATAATTATGGATGCGACAATAAATCGATCATACAACAATTTTATCAAAGTAAGATTTGTCCTGAAGAATAACACCAGTCAGTTGTGAAGCGGTTAGTTTAATAAAATACTCCTTGAATAATGATGAAATGATTTCACTGGTGAATCGCGGCTTTGATACGACGTCTAATCCTCTCGTTCTGGGACTGTCGGACGTTTTCGGTGCCAACACACAGTTGGTGTGATTCTGTCCCACTGCAGTCACAGTTTGAAAATATTAATTTGTGGTGGACTCTTTTTAAATGTTGAACCATCTGCAGAGAACTTCAGGCCAAATAATCAGAGTGACGCTCTTGTATTCCTGATAACAAACGATCAGATACCTCTTATGACATCCGGCGAATGAGGCCCTCTTCTCCTCTGCCGTCATTGGCTCCTTGAGTCCGTTGTCGTGCCGACCGTGCCTGGTGTCACGGTGACTGTAACCGTGGCTGCCGTTCTCAGACAGCGAGAACTCTCCGTACCCCTTCCTCCGAGCCTTCTGACGCAGCTTGTTCCTGTAATGCTCGATGTCCGACTTCTGCTTCAGCCCACTGTGGTTCGCCTGCAAACAATAATTTTCCGGTTATATTTCCTGGATCCATAAACTAATAAGTTTTACTTTGTTTGAAGTGAACTGGGAAATTTCTGCCTCGACCCAGGAGGTCACGCGTTCACCTCCGTTTGTTTGTTTGTCTGCAGGATTACGGGAAAAAGTACAGAACGGATTTCTGCAAATATTGGTGCAAGGATGAGACCTGAGCCAAGAAAGAACTCAATACATTTTGTCATGAATCTGCACAAAGGGGAGACGCAGACTTTGTTTTTAATCAATTTTGTTAACGTTGTGAGATACGACATCTTTTGTTAGTTTGTTTATGTCACATTTGACGGTACAGCACCATGGATGGGTGTTGATGGAAGAAATCAGGCCCATTCAGGCGACTTACAGGGTTTTTACTGTAGTTCAGAAACGTTGTCATCCTTTTGTTCTTTCTTATGAAACAGACAAATGTTCCAATCAGGTTTTAGAGGAGAGGAGAAAAAGAGATTCTAGAAACAACAACTTAACTCTGCACCAGTGCAACAAGGCTCTGATAAACCACAACTGAAGAACCTGAAGTTTAAGCTGCAGGTTATTTATTACCACTGTTTAAATATTAACTGTATAATATAAAAGTATTACAGTTTTTACGAAACAAAACTTGACTCGTACAAATGTGAAAAATGTTTTTAGGTTGAATTCATAAAGTTTGAATTGATTGAGTCGAGTTAACTTAATAAAACTAATTTAAAACATCCCGAGTGCTGTACAATAAAAAACAAAAAGGTAAAACGTGAATTTAAAAAGCCTGAGAAAACATCTTCAGGAGACATTCTGCTCATGTTGAGGCTGATAATTAAAATGTTTTCAATCTCTAGTGTTCAGAAAACATCGCTTTCCTCAAACTGCTGCAGCTCCTCTTTTCAGCCTCTGTCTCAAACACTCAGTTCTTCTTATTTCTTACATAACCAACATCAATGTACATCACCTCTGTGTTTACGCTTAGTTTTCCAGCAGATTTAAAAAACATCGGCCTCTGCTCTCTCTTTACTTTGTTAGGGGGCGTGACAGACTAGCAGCTATACGTTGATTATGCAAACGTGGGGTATTGTGACGATTCGGGGGGGGGGGGGGGGGTGTTTCAGGACCGTCCGTGTTTTCTGTCTGTTTCTGTCAGAAACAATGAACAAGCATCATTTGCTCTCCTGTACTCTACGTATGTGTGACTCACTGCCATGATGTTCTATTCTTTGCTCTGCCCGATACTGTCAACACGGCAGAGTCGCCTCACTGATGAGTGTGATGAAGCCTCGCAGGTGTGTGTGTGTGTGTGTGTGTGTGTGTGTGTGCTTGTGTGTGCAGACTCACTTCGCCGTTGAGCACCACAGAGTCTTGGCTGTGGGAGGAGGAGGAGGGGTAGGAGTAGGTCGGCTGGGCCGTCATGGGCTTGATGGTGATGAGACGCAGGGACCCAGTGTGGTCCTCGTACGGGTCTGAGAGGAGCAGGAAGACAAACGGGTCAAGTCCGGAGCAGAGAGCCATCAACGACAGGACCAACATAATTAAGTTTGTCCACTCGTCTGAGGACGACCGGCGATTGAAAGGACAAGGACGAGACAGTACAATTACACAAACAAGGTAGCGAACAAAGTAAAGCGAACTCAGGCATCGAGCCTGACGATCCACCCAGAACCCAGTAAATCAGATTTGTGCAGAAAAAATAACCCGAACGATTCCAAACCGAATCGAATTGAAAAGTAAAATTGTGTGTGTGAGAGACATAATTGTGTGTTATTGTTTCTACTGACGTGACGGTGCTGTTTTTAAAATGTAAGCTCAACTAGTTGTCATGGCAACTCTAAAAGCGCACAACAGAGCCATGTACATGTTGCTCTTGGTCAAAAAAACACCACTGTGCATTTTCACGTTGTTTCCACTAATTACAAGAAAAAAAATCCTCTGCTGCTGTTAAATGCAGCTCTGTGTATTTAAGATGGACAGAGTTGTGTTGTGTTGTGTTGAGTTGTGTTGTGCTGGCTCCAGTGTGACTCACTGGCTGACTGACATCATATGGCAGACGGCTTCATTGTAGGACTACACCAGTCTGCCATTAACTCATCTCCAAACCCACACAGTCACATTTCACTCCGGCCCGCAGCTCGGCCCGCGTTATTCGTTCCTGCGTCGCCTCTCACACTGCGACAGCTTGGGTCAGAGCAGACGGAGTCACCACAACACACCCGGAGCAGGCGAACGTCCTGAAATCTTCAGTGCGATCACAACAAATGATCGTTGGCCTTTTTGACTTATGCGAAGTGTTTCCCTGAGATGACTGAGCGGTGCTGAGCGCTCTGCTCCCTCGTTTCTGTGTTTGCGTTCGCATCACCGGAACCAAATAGCTTCAGTTCGCAGCCACTGACACTGACAGTGTTTTCTGTACATGTGGAGATAAACACTGTGACTCAACTGACGATCAGCTTGTGTGACGAGTCCTGTGACTGTTTACTGCAGGGATCTAGTTAATGCTGACAAATAGGAACATGAGCTTTTTAGCCTCGGTGGTGATGAGACCACGACAACATTGGTCTGGTTTAAATAAAAAAAAAAAAAGATTTATGTATAAACACAGACTGTAGTTGTGTTTCAGTTCAGGAGCCGCGTCCTTCGTCGGGTGTGTTCGAAGCCGTCTGCGTCACAGCGGCGCGACAAGACCGTCCCGATTCCGAAAGCTCCCGACGACATGTGTCCTTCCACCCCCGATGAATCCCATGATTCATTGCACTTCAGAGACAAGCCGGTAACGACGGGAAAAAGTGTGAGGACTCAACCGAACATCTGAAGGTAGACAAGTTAAAAAAACATCTTTTCAACATTTTCAAAGAGATGATCAAAGCCGGTTTCTCTCATCTGAGGAAGTTCTCGTCACACTGATGTCAGTGTTCCTGTTTCTGATTCATTTGGTTTCATTCCATTTGTCAAGGACGCTACGTTTTGTTTGTTGGTTAGCATCGTCACACACGAACTACTGGACGGATTTCCACAGTGGTAGGAGGCGGTACTGCTCAGGGAAGAACCTGAAATTTAATCTAATTGTTTCTCTTCCTCTTCCTTTTTTATTTTCTGATTTTCCTGCAGCATCCGCGACAGACGAACGAGACGTTACTGGTCCTTTATCATCGTGTGCTATCAGCATCACATATTGTTCACTGATCCTGACTAATCTTACAAATAAAGCACCAAACCAAAAGGTGCCCTCGCACAGTTACACGTGTGTTTTCTCCCCGCAGAATAAAAGACGGCGTTATCAGCAGCGGTCTCGTGAAACACGAAGCCGAAAAACATCATCACGTTGAGGTGATAACACAGCGGAGGAACAGCTGTGATTAAAAACATACCACGACGTATCAAAGATCCACCTGAAAAATAAAAAAACGATCAAAATCCTTTACTGCTCTCATCCGTTCGTGACCTTCTCACTCCTCAACTCAAAAAACAGATGCTGGAGTCATCAGCAGCTCAACACCAAGATGCATTCACACATGACCAGGGCAGTTGCGGTTCAGTCTCTTGCTCGTGTTTGAACCACCGGTGCTGTGGTTGATGGGCGACCCGCTCTGGCTCCTGAGCCACAAGGCCTCCGTACCCAGAGTGCATCTTGGCAGGAGAGAGGTTTGCTCACGTCACTTTATTCCTTCAACTCTTTAATCTAACTGGAAACCCGTCTCTTGTTGTGGTGATTATTATCATTTAAAATCTGTGTTTGATTGCATTGATTTTATCCGGAGCTCATATTGTTTGGATCTTAACCGATGTTTATCTCAAGAGTTTCCAGAATATATAACCTGAAAACTGTCCGTCTCCAGTTGTCTGAGAAAACCAGGGACAAATGAAACAATTACTCATCCTCTCCTCCCTCCGTTCATTCATTCGCCTGCATAAACACTATAAATCACACAAATTACTGCGAACGCCGGTCTGCTGATGCAAAAGGGATTGAAAAATCACGGTGTCCGCGAATGTCACTGAACAGAAGCAACAACGCAGCGTTATCGGGGATCAGAGAAATGTTTATGCAACAATTCTGCCAGCTGGAAAATGTTCAGCTGAACAAGTCATATCGACGATGTGTTTACTGCCACCGCTGATAACAGGTTCTGGAGATGAGAGCGCGAGCAGCCGATGATCCTGGGACATTTTGTTGTTTTTTTTTACTCTTAAGAAACAGTGATGGAGTACTGGGACCAAATTCTGAGATTTTAATATTACGAGAATAAAGAACAAGGAGAACAAGTGTTGGCCACAGTTTCTCTCCTGCTGTTTCCTGTTTTTCAAAATCCTGATATTTATGATCATGTGGAGCTGATGAGACCAATTGTTGTATTTTGTTTTTTTGTGAAAGTCAAATACTAAAGTACTGAAGTAAAACTTAACAAGATGCTGGACATTCCTCATCTTAACGCAGGAGACAGACACATCTTCTGATTTTCAACCTCTCACGTGACACGAAGACGAAAACTGCATCTTTATTCTCATAATCTCATATCGTCTTTCCTTCCAGAGATATTACTCCGTCCGACTTCCTAAAACGTGGTGTATTTCTTTGTATTTGATACCGTTTCGAGGTTTTGGCAGTAAATCATTAATATAAATTGTTTTATTAAGCGGTGATAAGATCTGACTCCTGATAAAATACTTGTTTTCATCCACTGGTGCTGATAAACCCAGAAGGAAACAATCCCAGTATTTAAAATTAAAGTGCTGTATGATTTTTAATAGCGACTCAGGATGATTTAGAATCTGAGGGTTTAATGTTGCGTCATTTTTTTTCCAGTACACGAATCTTATGCTGTGTGTCTCTGAAAACACCTCACGTGACAGTGCAGTGTCACAACTCTTTCTGCCTTTCCTCTGTGATGTGACTCAAAAGCGACATGATGCAATGTTCAAGGAACGCACTCTGCCAACCGCAGGCTTTTATCTCCGTGCAGCGTTTCCAGCGTTGCACCCTGGGATAAGGTAAATCATCTGCAGAGAGAAACACCTGAAAAGTGAAATGTCTCTTTTGATTCAGCCGACAGGAGTAACCACCGTGTGTGTGTGTGTGTGTGTGTGTGTGTGTGTAAAATAAGACCAGAGAGTAAGTGCTGTGAGAAGAAGTGTCGTCAGCGACGTGATGCAGCAGGAGGCTGAGTCACTGAATGATTGACTGCGTGTTTGCTCATGTGCACGTCATGATTTCATATTAATGATCCTGAACGTGTGTGAGAGCAGAAGTGTGCG